GACTCTGTGAGTCTGTGCCTATGTCTGTGTGTGCCTGTGTCTGTGTGTCTGTGTGTGTCTGCATGTTTGTGTGTGTCTCTGTGTGTCTGTGTGTCCATATGTGTCTGTGCGTGTATCTGTGAGTGTGTGTCTGTGCGTGTGTCTGCGTGTCTCTGTGTGAACACACAGGTGTGGGGAGAGAGAAGACCGTGGCAGGTGTGGCCAGTGTGGAGCTGGATGGGGTACCTGGGAGTCTGCTCGCTCTTCTTCAGACTTCTCTGTTGGAAAGCGCTTCATTAAAATGGAAGAGGAAGATGGTGAAGACACAGTGTCACGTGTCCCAAGGAAGGTGCTGGCAGGGACTCCCTGGCCCATGCTGGGGGGGGATCTGTGGGCTGGACACGCTCCTCCTGGCCCACCAGGCCTTGCTGAGAAGCCCCAGGTAAGAGCAGGTGGGTGGGGTGGCTCAGGCGTGAAGTGCTGCTGTGGTCCTGCGTCCTGTCTGTGCTGTGCTAAGCCGTGAGACCGTGGGGGCCAGCTGACCTTGAGCTGATTTCCCACCACAGCCCAACCTGGAGCATGGGGTGCAGCCTGGGAGGGGGGCTCCGGGCATAGCCCTGCCAGGGGAAGGAAGGGGCTGAAGCTCCCTTCATGGGCTGCTTCGCTCTGGCCAGAGCCTGGAACCTGAGTCCTGGCTCTGTTGCCCAGGGGCTGCACAAGAGTCCACTAGTCCTCACCTCTAGGGATGAAGCCCTGATGAGTGGCCATGCCCCCCAGCAGAGCACGGCTCAGGAAGGCAGACATGCTCACAGCTGACTCACTGCTGCTGTCCAGGGCTGCAGTGCCGGGGCCTCTGCGGAACAGCAGGGGGTTCTGCCCACTGCTGCACCAGTACCTTTTTCTTCGTTTTTGATTTGGGTTTTTGTACTGGGGATTGGACCCAGGGGTGGTCCACCTCGTCCTCCTGCCTCAGACTCCCTGGTGGCCAGGGTCGCAGACATGGCCATGCACCGGCGCAGCAGTGTCCTTTTCAGAGTCTAGTCTTGTCAGCCTCCCCTCTGAGGGGCCTGTCCCCTCCAGATCTGTCCCTCTGCCTGTCAGAAGGGGCTGACAGTGTCTGCCACACCTACCTCAGATCTGGCTTTCAGATATCGAACCCTTGGAAAAAATCATTTTAAATACAAATGAAGAGTCTCTTAACCAAAGAGTCTGAGTGCATGATGAAGTTCCAACTCCTGTCCCCCTGATGGGCCCTCTCACCTGCTCAGTCTCAGCATGGGCCTCTGCCAAGGAACCATGGGCCAGGCCATGTGTGGCCTGAGGACAGAGATGGCTGCCAGAGTCCAGGTCTCTCCTGAGGGACATCTTTCCCAGTAACCTCAGCCCTCTCTGTCCCTAGTCCCAGCTTCTGCTCATCCCCATGTCCCCCCGTCCTGGATTTGGGTGAGAACGGTCACATTCAGGACCCACTCCTGCCTGAGAGTCATCCCGCACTGCCATTAGGAGGAAAGGCATTGACCCCCAGGCACCCAGTGCATGGGTGGGGCTCCCCGGGCACAAGTGCTGCTGGCATGGCACGCACTGTTCCTCATGTGCCTTGGAGAAACTGAGAGATCATCACCTGAACCGCGAGCCACCACTTCAGAAATACCAGAGGAAAGCCACGTCCCAGGATGAACAGGGCCTCGCTGTGCTGAGGGCAGATAGCACTTTGTTTTCCCAGGAAACGGGAGCAACGTTAGAAAAGCCACAAAGGACAGACTTTAGGAGTGCTCTTTAGGAAGTGGAAACGCGGAAGCTCCAACAAAGGTTGAGCACATAAATGAGGACACTCGGGCTGGGGATGTGGCTCAAGCGGTAGCGCGCTCGCCTGGCATGTGTGCAGCCCAGGTTCGATCCTCAGCACCGCATACAAACAGGGATGTTGTGTCGGCCGAAAACTAAAGAGTAAATATTAAAATTTCTTTAAAAAAAATAAATAAATGAGGACACTCGCATCACGGAGATGGAGGTGAATGGAGGAGACGCAGATACAGAGAAAGTAGGCAGGAGGCAGAGATGACAGGCAGGTCATAGAGAGATGATTGACAGGTGGTAGGTAAATACTGGTACAGACAGAGGTAGAGAGGTGATTGACAGGTGGTAGTAGATACTGGTACAGACAGAGGTAGAGAGATGATTGACAGGTGGTAGGTAGATACAGGTCAGACAGAGGTAGAGAGATGGGAGGCGGGGCGTAGATGATTGATACAGGTACAGAGGCAGACAGATGGGAGGTAGGTATGTAGAAGATGATCAATAGGTAATAGGTATAGGTAGTTTTGGACAGATGACAGGTAGATAGGAGGTAGATAGGTAATTGAAAGACGATAGGTAAACAGGATAAGAAACTTAGGAAATATTAAAATAAACTCAAGGGCTGGGGTTGTGGCTCCGTGGTAGAGCGCTTGTCTCATATGTGTGAGGCCCTCGGTTTGGTTCTCAGTGCCTCATATAAATAAATGAATAAAATAAAGGTCCATCAACATCTAAAAAAGAAAAACTCAGTTTAGCTGGGTGAGGTGGCACACGCCTGTGATCTCAGCAGCCTGGGAGGCTGAGGCAGGAGGATCAGGAGTTCAAAGCCAGCCTCAGCAACTTAGTGAGGACCTAAGCAACTTTGGGAGACCCTGTCTCTAAATAAAATACAAAAAAGTGGGCTGGGGCTGTAGCTCCGTGGTAGAACACTTGCCTCGCACACGTGAGACACTGGTTCAATGCTCAGCACCACATAAAAATAAGCAAATAAAGATACTGTGTCCATCTACAACTAAAAAATATGAAAAAATAATAATAAGAGCTGGAGTTGTGGCTCAGAGGTGGAGCGCTTGCCTTGCACGTGTAAGGCACTGGGTTCGATTCTCAGCACCCATATGCATGAATGAATAAAATAAAGGTCCATGAACAACTAAAAGAAAATTAAAAAAATAATAAAATAAAGTACTGGGGATGTGGCTCAGTTGTTAAATGCCCCTGGGTTCCACCCCTGGTGTAGAAGGGAAAAAAATAACCCAACAACCTCTCAGCTTAGCAGGGTCTCTGGTGCCTGCCTGTAATCCCAGATATGCAGGAGTAAGGCAGGAGGATGGCGAGTTCAAGGCCAGCCTGACAACTTAGTGAGACTCTGTCTCAAAATAAAATATGTGCCTCAGAGGTGGAGCGCTTGCCTCGTACATGGAGTCACTGGGTCGCACTTCAGCACCACATGAAAAGGAAACAAGTAAAATAAAGATATTGTGTCCGTCTAAAAAGTTAGTGGAAAACCCAAAGCAAACTGTCATGCCTGGTGCACGCCCGTCGTGGAGAGAGGCCACGCGTGCTATTGGGCAGGCACAGGGACCCAAGCAGCCTCCCACTTGCCCGTCAGCAGCAGCCGGCCTGCAGCCAGCTGTGTGCACCTCTTGCCTTATAATAAAAACCAAGCCAGTGAGCACTCAGTTTCTAACAATTGGGAAGACACGGTACGCACCTCCCTGCTCTCTGTGGCTTTACGTCTCAACGTCTGCATTTACTCGTTAAAGGAGGACGACACTGGAAAAACGTGCTGTGGTGTTTGAGGATCTTATTTAGCCTAACATTCCAAAGTGGGATCAGCTTTTAAGCAGACTGCTTTCTGACCTCACCACAGGTTGGTCTCCCTTGTGCGCCCTCGTCCTGACAGCCGTCCTCTGCTGGAGGTGAGGGGGAAGGCCCCTGTAGAGGCGAGACCTGCCTTTCTGACTGACTGAAAGCACACCAGTCCCAGCCCCCACTCAGAAACAGCCTGTGCAGACAGGGCTGCTGCCCAGTGTGGTCTCACAGGCTCCTTGACCACGCCTATGCTCCTCTGGGATGTGCGAGCCGGGCCACTGCTGAGAAGCCACCCCAGCCCTAGTAGGGCCCTCCACCAGGGCGCAGGGAGGGCCAGATGCCTGGAGCCAGACGCAACTCCAGGAAGCCCTGCAGCCCCCTGAGCCTGGGAGGCGGGGCCCTCACCAGTAGCCACTGTCCAGATGTCTGCTGGACTTACAGCCTGGGGACACCACGTACTGTCCAAACTACCCACAGAAGGAGACAGTGCCCACAGCCCAGGTTGCCCTCTGGGCTCGGCCACCTTCCCGCACGGCGAGCTCCCCGCCCTGGTGCTCTGCAGCGCGGTCGGCACCCTGGCCGGCGCGCACCCCGAGGGGCAGCTCTCCTCAGAGACAAGCGCCTCAAGCCAAGGACAGCACGGCCACCAAGACAGGCCCAGCCCAGGGCCGAGCTCAGCCCACCACCGAGCGCTGCTCTACTCACACCTGATGCTGCTTGGAGAAAGTCACATCCAGGGTCACCTCAGCAACAGGAGCAAGTGTCCCCTCAGGCCCCAGCAGTGCCCCGGCGACCCCCCAGGGAGCAGGGCTGCAGGGGCTGGGGACCTTCTGTGGGAAGCCTGGCAGGCAGACCCACAGAGGGCACTGCTCCCTGGCCCTCTCGGCCACGTGTTCCCAGAGGCACTGACCTCAGAGGCCCAGTGTGGCTACGCACTTGGCTGGGGAGGTGAGGCAAGAGCTTCTGCCACCAGAAGGCGCCCAGAGCCCGGAGGCCCCACCCTGAGGACACGGAGCCTCTGTCTGCCTGGGGAGGTGACTCTCCAGGAGCCTGAGGTGGTGCAGGTGTGCAGCCATCAAACAAGTGTCGAGCAGTAGAAAGGAAAAGCTGTTCTCAGATGGAGCACCACTGCATACACTGTGTTGGCATGAGGGAGCAGACGGTACTGTCTGGGCAGCAGAATAAACACCAGCTGTCCAGGGCACGCAGGGGACACTGTATTGGAGGTGCCCGTGCAGCAGGCTGAGCCACATCAGCAGTGGTCTGGGTGAGCAGGGTGTGGGAGCCACCTCCAGATGGGCAACATGTGGCAGGTGGCAGGTGGACACTGTAGCTGGAGGGGAAGCAGGTGTGGGCCACCCTCCCGCTGGGGGCTACTTGCTGCTGGGGCCCCGGAGGCAGTGGCAGAAGGGTTACTTGTCCTCCGTGGACAGGCGGTGGAGGGCGGCGCCCACGCTCTCCAGTCTGGGCTTGTGCTCCAGCTCCTGGTACAAGCCCCTGGGCACCGCGTCCAGCCCGTGCAGCAGTCCGAACAGGCAGCCGGCGATGGCCCCGGTGGCCCCACTTTCACCTGGAAGGGCACACACAGGTGTGTCACTACCCAGGCCCTGCTCCTCCCAGGGCCCTCCTTCAGGAGTGGACAAGGTTCTGGTCCCACACAGAGCTTTCTGCTCTGGCCACCCCCATCACAGAGAGGTGCATTTGCCATGGGGCTGGGTTGGGGGGACCACAGGGGCAAGGACCCCTTGAGGTGGGCCCCTGTGGGCCACTTCCTCTCTGGCTCTGCCGGATGCCCTGGCCCAGGCTGGCCCCCTCGGCCTTGCCTGGCACCGCAGCACTCCTCCCCCTTTACCCACCCCCAGCTGTCCACTCTGGTGCTGCAGACACAAGCCCAGAGGACACTCGGCCTGCACTCAGTCCCCGGGCAGCAGTGGTTCCTTCTGTCTGCACAGCGGCTCAGCCCAGCCCTCAGGGCTCTGCGGGCGACTCTCGCCTGTCCCCACAGCCCCTGCTTCTCCTGGGCTGGGTGCCCAGCTGGGTCCTGGCTCCTCTGGAGCCCACAGGCCAGGCAGCACCGGCTCCTCCGCAGTGGGAGAAAGCGTGCCCAGCCCCAGGGCAACACAGTGAGCGCGGAAGTCCCTGCCAGGACGGGGAGGGGCACGGGTCTTTCTCCTTGGGGTCACAACACAGTCCCAGGTATGGGTGCTGTCTGGAGAAATGGAGCAAGCTCCTCTGGCCAGGGCCTGACCGCCCAGCGCAGGCCAGGGCGGCACAGAGCTGCAGAGGCACAGGACGGCAGAGCCTCAGGTGGGCCCGAACACAGCCTGCAGCTCTGAAGCCAGCAGCAGCAAGGGGGGCCCGACACGCCGGCCACAGCCCTCCTGACAGCGGCCGCCCCAGAGCAGGCGCCTGTGGCCTCTGTGCTGGCCGGTGTGCAGGGGCCCCACGGTGGGCCCAGTGTCTATGGCCTTGGGGCTCCTGCGAAGGCCCAGCCGGGGGCTCACCTCCGTGGAGCATGGCCCGCTGGCACAGCTCCGTCCAGCTGCTGCCTGCCGCGAGGAGGGCGTCGTAGGCTATCATGGGGGCATCGTGGCCTCGCCGTCCCCCTCGGCCTTCCGAGCTCCACTTCTTGTAGGTCTGAAGAGGGCCGTGGTTGGGGCATGAGCACAGGTGGAACCGTCAACGCCTCCCTCCCACCGGCAGCCACCCGCCCACCAGCTGCTGTGCCCTGCTGAGTGCAGCCACCATGAGGTGCGTCCCAGCAGGGGCAGGACTTGCCTTGTCTCTCTCCTCCGCATCATAGTTCTCGGGAAAGGTGGCTTCATTTCCCGAGTCCTCACTGATCTTTCTCTCCTCCAAGTAAAACTGCCACTTAGCTTCAAAGTAGAACCAGTGCTCCTGGTACTCTAGACAGAAGCACAGGTGAGTGGCCACTGGCCGTGGGCAGGAGGAGGGAGCGGCATGCCCTCCCAGGAGCAGGTGTGCGGAGAGGGACTTCCTGCCCTGAGAGCTGGGAACAGGCAGCAGCTGCAGAGCTGCTGAGGGTCCCCTCTCCAGGCTCTGGGCCTGCACCGTGTAGGACTTAGCTAGTGCTGCCTGGGAGCCCTCCGGGAAAACTAGCCCCAGGTGTGTTGGGGCAACTTTTGGTCAGTTTGGTGAGGAGGACACTGTCTTGGCCAAGACCCCCAGCTGCACACATCAGAGACCACACAGGGCCACTTCTAGAGCTCAGAGGGGCCGCAGGCAGAAGACCCTGAGGCTCTGCCCCTTCCCCTGCTGCTCCAGGCCAGAGCCTGTCTAGCCACCTCAGTCCCCTCCTCGTGGCTGGAGGCCCCCGGGACACCAGCCATGTTGGCCCTTAGGGACTGCTAAGGCCCACGGACACTACTGGGGTGGACACAGATCCTTTGCCTGTCCAGAAATGGGGAGCAGAGCAGAGATGGAGAAACCCCTCCTGCCACCCTCCTGGCCGCAGGACAGGTCCGTGGTCAGCACCTGGGAAGGAAGAGCAAACACATGGCATAGACCAGCAGAGCCCTTCCAACTCCAGCTATGAAGCCAGGGGACGTCTCTGGTGAGCCTTGCAGAACTTAGTTCTCTGCAGTGACATTGGGGCCTGTTGGGTTCTTGTCAAAGAAACCATAAATGTCGGGTCAAGCAGGCTTACGGCCAGACCCACAGGCCTGTTTCTGGACCGTCAGTACCCACAAGAAAGAGGTGTCCAAACCACCTGGCTGATCCCTGTGCCCTGGAGCCTCAGGGTGTGGGTGGACCTGCCGCAGTCTGGCTGGGCACAAAATCACGAGCCACTCACACCTTGTAGATTCAAACAGCAACTCTTTATTCTACAACTCACCCCGGCACTCTACAATCACGTTCTGGGGAAATCCACGTTCTGGGCAAAATCCACCCACTCCACCAGGCTCTGAATCCCAAATACTCTCTGAATCCCGCGAGAACTCAAGGAGTGGGCGCGCCTGAGGCAGCAGGATACGCCCTATTCCCAGCAGGGTACACCCTAAACCTGGAACCGTCCTAAACCCAAGGAGCGGGATACTCCCTAATCGCAGCAGGATACACCCTAAACCTGGATCCGCCCTGGTCCTTGAGCAAGGTCACCTTACATGCAATGTCACTGCAAATGACCTGGGTCATGCCATGCATCATACCTACTTGGCAATGGCTCTCAGCATGGACCACTGTCCAGCACACGCAGAAGCCACTCTGGGCAGCAGAGTAGGGGGCACTGCCAGGAAGGGCAGAGGCAGGGCTGCAGAGCCGCACACTGAAAGGGGTCAGCTCGTGCCCACTGCACAAGGGAGCCCACCCATGGACAAGGCCCAACTGTGTTGCCCTGCACAGGGGACAGCAGAGCTGCTGGAGATAAAGGAGCTGAGAACCACGTCTTAAGTCACAGAAGCAGAACTAGCCATGGCACTGGCCACGTGCCTGCAACTGCCCTAGAGTCGGCCTCACTGGAGCCAAGCCACACAGAGGGCGCCTCACAACTGAGGGAGGTGGGCACAGAGCCTTGCCACTGCCGGAGCTGACCATCCCGCAGGGCCCTGGCACACACACAGCTCTCCTCTCCTCTGCCCCAGGACCCCAGCCCTAGGCTGTCCCCTCCTCTCCCCTCCTCTCCCC